CGTTTCGGCTAGGAACTTCGCGCTGATAGAATGCGTAAAAAATCCTTCCTCCCGCTCAGGGTTTCTCTCTGCTTTTGGTGGCTTTCAAATTATTCATTCCCACCGACCGATTTCATCGTAAATCGAACGGTGGAGCGGGGGTGGGACGGATGCGGTTTCAAGCTGATCGGCCATCGTAATTTTCCGTGGATGCGTATCTAAATTGAAATCGTTATTGAAATTATTATTCGTCTCGGGATTTAATACGCTCCTGGCGATCGGACCGTCACTAATTGCAAATAATATTTCCGCGGACGCGTGCATTGTGGTCTCGTTCGATTGATTCGCCAATTCGATTATCGCGGTTAACAGAATTAATTAAAATGGATTTGAGGAAAAAATGGAAGAATAAAAATGTAACAGAAATTGATTATAAGCGACAATGAGTTGAGGCAAGAATTTGTGCCCATAAATTGATTGATGATCGTCAATGAAGTTGACAAATCAGCCGGATTGACATTGAGTTTAGTAGCTCTTCAAAGTGAGGAAAATAATTTATGTATTGGAAAAAATCAATAAACCTGTCCGGACAGGCGATGGAACGATATTTTCCGGTTTTTACAGAGAGCGCGGAATTGATTGGAAAATGGTACGTACCGGTAACAGTACGAGCTCATAAACCAGGTCTTTTCGTATGCAAATGTATGCGACTAAAGCTAGTAACAAGGGGTGTGTAATCTGCCATTGCGTTTGTCCTTGTCCGTATCCATTTTTCCCCACAGCATTCACTTCGCATCCAACCCTCTCGATTTTGTCATTCAACAGCCTAACCGGCTCGATTCAATTTACTTCACGACGACAAAATCGTCCGTTTTTCTAACCGTACTATCGTAAGGGACGACAAGCCGTTCGAGATCTCACGTAGAAAAAGGGTCGTCTCTCGCTATTGGAAAGTCAAGTACTCTTTGAAATCCATCGAGTGGTCTATTTTGTCGAACTTAATAATCGAATTTTCCTCGGATAACAAAGACACGGACTGATATGGTCAACGATTTATGGACAAGAATAAACATATTTCGCGTATTCAAATATTCTAATTGATCATCAACATCAATTGAAATAAATTTTCAAATACTCCGCTTGTCATAATCAAATGTGTCGAGGAAATGCGCATAAATTTTAAATTATTCGAAAATTCGTAAGGTAGAGAATTTGTGGCAGTAATGAAAATGAAATTAAATCAAGTACGTTGGGCAAAGAAGTGTGTACAATGGTCCCTTGCGAAGAGACGCGACGAACCCATAAGTTCGTTAAAAACTGTGTCAGCAAACAACAAGGAAAGATATTTCAACAAACATAGCTAGCACGACCGTCCCATTTTAGAGGCGCAACCTCTTTTAAATCCATACAAAAACGCTGTGTTGTTCGACCTAAAAACCGATAGCTACAGGACCCAAGCGAAATAGCTACCGGAGAGAAACTACTATGCAAAATTGTATGGGTTCCCGGCACAAGTACATATGGCAGCAAACAGAAAGTTCAAAAGCGTCGGCTAACTTCTAATTAAAAAAAACAGCACATACTTTATGGATAAAGTTACTAGCACATGATTTACTCGCAAATGAAAACAAACTGTCAAGTCGGTGCATATGAAACGTGTCGTCTTTTTCATATATAGTTAATACAACAAATGCTGACTTGTAGCATACAATATTATACATATTCAATTCAGATTACTAATTACCATACGTATTAAAAATTGCATTGAATGTCATACGTATTCAAGCTAAAGATGTATTAGCTATACAGTCAATACCAAAATTTTATCTACCTTAGAAAAACGCATTTTCTATAAATAAAAAGAAATCAGACGTTGGAAGAATAATGATTTTGGATGAAAAAAAGTTTACTTCTTAACNATTTAACTGAAAATCGACACTCACTATGCTCTGATGGTTCAAAAAATATTGTAGAAATAGGATAGGATTCCTCTTATCGATGAGTTTGTAATTTTTTTAGTATATTTTAATTCTTGTATTCACACTAAACGAAATCAAATGAAGAACACGATTTGATTTAACGAGATTTGTGTGATAGAGTTCATGAAATGATTAATACGCCTCGATAGCTCGGAAGTGTGTCCACTTTGTCTACGTTCAGTCCGTATATCGATCATCGTTGAGTGCTCGTGTAAAACGAAATGAACGCGGCAAGCGGCTCTATCGTTGGGATGTAAACTTAATCGATATCAATAAAACGAGGAATTTGGATAAAAGCTGGCAGGTATGTATCGAAATCGTTTTGCGTGTAAAGAGTTTCATCACGATATCATATCGGGATAGGAGGGAAAAAAATATTTTTTTATCAACCCTTCGATGAAGTAGATTAAAACTGCAGGATTTTAATATTCATTGATTTTCAGAAATATCGAAATCGTTGGACCGATTAGAGTAATAACGTGTCGCACGTATACATTCCTATCATGTTCTCGTATCGTATCACCGTTGCATATTACCCGTATACAAGTTAAAATACATACACATTCCTTTACACATTAGTTTCCATCAAGTACATTCGCGCTCTGATTAGTCGGCTTTTTGTTAATAACTCTTCAACCACGCCTCGGACAACTTTTTCGCTAAGGAAAATATTGTTTAAAATCACGTCAGGAACCTCTTATTTCAATATCTTACACTAGTTTTGGGACAGCCTGTATATACTTCGAAGTGTTGTAAGACTTACGAACAGTGTACAATGATGCAACGTATGCCCGTTCATAATGATACCCAACGGTAATACCAAATATAGAATGCAAGAAAATACGGGCCTTTAAGTGTACGCGATAAACAACGCGAAAACTATTTCGCAAGCAGAAACAGAAATGAAATTTCACAACGACGTAGAAGTTAGAAGCAGAGGTCGGTTCTGACCTTTTCAGAACATTCCGTCTAGTTTTCCTCGAATACCTTTAAATAGAGTAATGCTTGCAAAATTGCCAAATCATGGATCTCACTCCACAAATTAATTTGATCCTTGGAATTATATCAATGCGCGTTATTAATCACTTTATAACTACATAAATGAACACAATTTGGATACAAATATTCGTGGAGAGTTACCTTTATATAATCATCTACTCGTAAGTCATTAAGATATCATATGGACCAACATGATACACGTAGCCGGACGAATGGTGCGAGCAGAAAAACAGGATAGAATTTCCGAGCTCGATTTTCTCGAAAACGAAGCATCAGATGAAAAAATGTTATTCCTTTTTTGCAACTTATTTTTGCATGTAGGATCAGCACATTCTACACAGCACGGAATGTTCATACAGATATCTGTTTTCAAAATGAAATAAATAAAAGGGAAGCAGGTGATAGAAAAACAAACTAAATTCTTGTCCATGTGTATACGGGCACCAGGCATGGATTCAAATATTTGTTCAATTCGTATACGAGAGACCGCACACGTTGTCCGTATTACGATAAAAAATAAAACTGAATTAATAGCAGTTTCGGTTTCTATGATATTACGGGCATTTCACCACGGTACGTAGTGTTCGCATAGTACAGCGAGGAATCTAAATTGAAACGATAAAAGAACCCTCGTGGAACCTGCTCGTTGTACGATTTATAGGCTGGCTGACGCATCGAAGGAACAGAATCGGGAATCTACTTGGCCGACACTTTGGGAGAAAGCTTCGAGGAGGTGGTATCAATTAAAATTGGTTACGGTACGTTCGGTGAAATCACGTCGCACTGGGGCCTGTCGTCGAGAAGAGGCCATCGATCCTGTTCGGATCGGTCGTAAAATAAAGATTTGGCCAAGAGGGTGGTCCTTCTCGTGGAGGGGTTACTTCGACCCCACACGTAATCCCACGGCGTGTGTATCCACGCTGGTGCACACACAGACCGGCTTCGATACCATAGGGGCGGATCGGCTGTACTCGGCCTGAATACTGATTCTCCACGGACGCATACATTACCGACGCGGATGAAAGATATTTGCATTTTGATGGACCGTGCCGAGTGCATTTGACGTTTCATATGCATTCCATGGGCGATCCGCGCACTCGTCTGGACCCGGTAAAGTGTGAAAAAATCACCCCTGCCCTGCTTCCTCGTCTAAGTGCCACGAGCTGTTTGTATTTATTTCGCAACTTTATCCGGTGCGCCGCCACCGCCGCGTCTCGAGTATCCTTTTGAATATCTCGACGCTGATCTCCAGCCTCCGAGAGCTCAATCTTTCACAGTGTTTATGAAATGAAGCATACAAACGAATATCATTCAATTTTTCTGTATTCTATGCATGTCATTTAATGATACGCAGCAATACAGTTCGAAATACAAATCTCATAATGTTATTCTTTTTAATGTAACTGAAAGACAAGGTAGAGTTTCCCTCTGGATAAGCGAAGAATACTTCGCAGGAGTATTAAAGCGGTTAAAAAAATGCAGACTACTTGAAATAAACAGATAAAATGAACTCGGAGACGGAAATATATGGCAACGAGGCGACGCAAGTTCGACATCGGTGCACCGTGTGGAATGAAACTTTTCGTGAATCAATGGCAGCGGCGGGAGCTTTGTTTAATGAAGTTGCAAAGCTACGGGGACACGGAAAAGTGAGCGTCGGAGAAGTGTGAACAAGTTTTATTTAATATAATTAACGGGTTTCCGACGAGAGTCTAACGAACGAACTTCCACCGTGTCTGAAAGAGTGCGCGGGTTCTTTTCAACACCGAGCGCAATGGAGTTGAAAGAAATAAATAAATTACATGGTATCCGTGCTGTACAAACTTAGGAATACGCAGTTTGTGCACACGTCTTTTAACGTATGAGGAGAAATTAGTACGCGTAAAGATGAATAAGATTCCTCTATTTTCCAGACGAATTCATTCTCCTCCACCAATTTACTTAATACGTCTGAAGCAATGGATATTCCAGCGCAGCACTCACTCTCACTGATGAAAACTACTAGACGGACTTTCTGATTAAAGATCTGAGATTCTGACTTACCGTTACGGTTGCACTTTCCTCCAGTCGTGTCGACGTCTTCACTCGCGGACAAGTTTTCTGAACGGAACGGAAACTTGATTCTTCACGGCGGCTTGCCAGGATCTCGCGGTGTTCGCGTTGTTCGTTCACTTCATGTCACGGTAATTGCTGTCACAGAACACTTTCGCACGAACCGAGCTGCATCTCGCTGACTTCCGGCCGGCGAGCTTCAGTCCGAGTTACCATTTCTGAAAAAGAAGACAAAACTTCTTCTGACGATTCGTATTGTAACAAATGGATAAATTAAAAAAAAATGTAATATCCACAAGCTGATACGTAAGCTAACAAAAAGATTAGAACATTTGAATTACAATTCACGTGTCATGCATTTATGGCTTGTTAATGAATCAGGACAATGAATTAGCCAAAATTGAATTATAATTTTAAATGTGAATCTTAGAAAACTGTACCTACTACTTTAGTAATTCTTTAATA